ATTACATGTTGCTGTTAAATGACGTAGAGTGGGTTCTGACCCATAGCGACCCTGTATAGGGTTTCTGAAGAGCAGTTAGTGAGCTTGAACCACCAACCTTATGGTTCAAACCGGCTTTGCAGTCCAATGCATTAACCCATAGCGCCACACCAATACTGATGGGAAACCAGGATACTGAATTAGCACTGCCTTTGTAATTCTAAAGTTTTGTACAACTAAATTTTGTGTGAATCCATTATTCATGCCATTCCAATGAAGTACACCACTCAAACTCACCAGCTGCTCCTCAGAAACCCTATACAGGGTCACTGTGAGTCAGAACTGACTTGATGGCACTTAACAACAACAATATACCACCAGAATAGTACTTGGTAGATACTCAATAAACATTTGTTGAACCAATGAATGGATCACACAGGCTCTGTAATATTTGAAGCAAATAATTCAAGAAAACATAAAATGGTAAAGAAATTCTAAAAACACAATTACCACCATGGACAATATACCTTAAGTAAAAACAGACTATAGTACTGGTAGCGTAGTGGTTATGAATTGGGCTGTGATCCGCAAGGTCAGCAGTTCGAAACTACCAGCTGTTCCGCGGGAGAAAGAGGAGGCTTTCTGCTCCCGTAAAGATTTACACCCTTGGGAACCGTGTACAGGGTTGCTGTGAGTTGGAACCGACTCCACAGCACATAACAACAACAACATAGAACACATGTAGTACTGGGGTGGCATTATCGGTTAATAAGCTGGACTGTACAGTCGATTGAGGTTCCTTGCAAACCCTATACAGGGTCTCTGTGGGTCAGAACTGACTTGACGGCACTTAACAACAACAACGTAGTACTCATGGTGTCCTTGGGTGGTACAAACTGTCAATGTGCTTGCCTGCTAACTGAGATATTGGAGGTTCGAGTCTACCAAGAAGCACCTTAGACGACAGGCCTGGCATTCTACTTCTGTAAAATCAGCCAATGGAAAGCCTATGCATGTAATTCTGCGCTGACACACATGGGATCATTATGAATAGGAGGTGACTCGGTGACAGCTTTCTCTTTACTTAAATATTAATTATATATAGGAAAGTCTGTTTTTAGTTGATGTTTTTAAAAAGTTGAGGAACTTAAAAATAGGAGTGGTTAAGTAATTTGTCCAAGGCAAAGATCTAATCACCAGGGTCTAGAGAATTTGAAAGACCAAACGCCTGAGCTATACAAACAAGAGCAGAGATGTAGCAATAGTATTGAGAAACAATGGACTGTGATACGGAACACTGGAATTTGAATCCCGAATCTGCCATGACACTTTTAGATACTTCTGGAAATCACACAAATTCTCTGAGTCTCAAAATTTTCACCTGTACCATAAGGAAGCTGGTCTACACTATGGAATACTAGCATTTTCTAGATAATCTTCAAGGGAGTAGGGAAGCCAAAACATGGTGGGGAAGGCAAAGGGGTTGTGCTTTTATAAAGTAGAATTTTATTTACAATTTCACTTCTAAAAAAAGGTTTCTGTGCATTTAATGCTTGAGAACCACTGACCCTTTCTAATCCTAATATTCTCAGGAGCCTACTGTGGAGCTAGCACTAATAACTCCTTTTCTAATTTACAGGCTATGGCACACATTTTCTCTGTTATAAAATTAGAGGAGAATGAAGTTAGCATGAAGGCTTATATTTTACATTTTCACCTTTGTGAAATACTTGGACATATATATAATTTCTCTGATATGTCCTTGATTTGACTTTACAAGCTATAATTATTATTTTGTTGTTGTTGTTGTTAAATGCCATCAAGTCAATTCCGACTAATAGCGACCCGGTATTGGGTTTCTGAGGAGCAGTTGGTAGGTGTAAACTGCTGAACTTGTGGTTCACAGCTCAGTGATGATCCTACAGCGCCACAACAGAGTCCACACTATAATCATTACAGTGTTTCTTAATGTGAAGAAATCCAATTATTTTCATAAGAATAGGCTTTTATAAAGACTTTTCAGAAATTCCTTGTGGTAAAAAATTCCTATGTTTTGGAAAGACTATCATTGGTTAAGCCATTTGAACTGCAAGGTCAGTGGTTCAAGCTCACCAGCTGCTTCTTGTAAACCCTATACACGGTTGCTATGGGTCAGAAATGACTCGACAGCATTTAACAACAACAACATAATTGGTTAACCTATTATTGTGTTCTGTTTACACATTGTCTTGTATTGGAATGATGAGATAATTTGCCCAAAGATGTTTGTGTGGCTCAAGTAGCTATTGCCATTAAGGGCTGTGTATTGATTATACTTAAACGAACAGAGATGGAATTAATCTGCAGTGTTGTTATCTCAAATACACAGAACATTTTCTACTACAGGACTAGAAAACCCTATGAGCCACTAAGGGCTAATTTTTATAATAAAATTATCAATGTGTTGGTTCGGTGATAAAGTCCCCAGACTATACCCTCATGGACACACTTCTGTTATTGTTGGGTGCCACTGAGCTGGTTCCAACTCACAGTGACCCCAGGTGACAGAGCAGAACTACCAATGATAATTTTCCCAGGTTATCACCTGTATGGAAGCAGACTGCTAGACAGTTCTCCCATGGACCCTTAGGGTGGTTATGAACCACTAACCTGTCTGTTAGCAGTCCAGCACTTAACCAGTGTGCTACCAGAACTCCATTTTTTATTTGAATTGAATTGTGTACTTACTTAAACTAGACTTCTAAAAAACAAATTTTACATGTTATTGTCTCATTGTTAATTTCTTATAAGAAAGGTGGCAAGCATCTACTGTTCACTAGAGCAAATCACAAAACTAACTTATAACATTAAAAAACAGCAAGTAACGGGGTTATTTTATTAAACAAAGGCACTAATATATGCAGAATACCACTACTCCTTGTTACTGGGCTTCTCAACATTTCTTAGGAATTACACTACTTCCCCCTTTCTCAAAAACTCACTTCAAAATTTGCCTAATGATCATTTAAGTGGGCCCTAAAACTTGTAATTAAAAGATACTATACACTATACAGCTGACTCCTAGTGTGGCACTGAGGGTTAATGCACTGCACTGCAAAGTCAGTGTGAACCACAAGGTCAGTGGCTCAAGCTCACTTTGGAAACCCTACACAGGGTTATTGTGAGTCGGAATCGACTCAATGGCACTTAATAACAATTGCTGTTGTTAGGTGCCATCAAGTTAGTACCTACTCATAATGACCCTATGCACAACAGAATGAAACACTGCCCGGTCCTGGGCCAACCTCACAATTGTTGCCATGCTTGAGCCCACTGATGCTGCCATTTTGCCAATCCATCTCACTGGGGGTCTTGCTATTTATCTCTGACTCTCCACCTTGTTGTTGTTGTTGTTAAGTGCCATTGAGTCGGGTCTGACCCATAGCGACCCTGTACAGGGTTTCCGAGGGTGTAAATCTTTACGGGAGTAGAAAGCCTCATCTTTCTCCCGCGGAGCGGCTGGTAGTTTCGAACCGCTGACCTTAAGGTTCGCAGCCCGATTCGTAACCACTACGCTACCAGAGCTCCTTGACCCTCCACCTTACCAAACATGATATCCTTCTCCAGGGACTGGTCCCTCCTGACAATATGTCCGAAGTATGAGAGGTAAAGTAACAATAGCTACCTTTTAATTACAAGTGTTTATCTACAATCTTAAGCATGGGTATATCTACTATTTCAGCATGTCTTGTGTCATGAAGATGATCAAACTCTTCACAGTATCTGATTTTCATCAAAAGTGTTCAGAGAAATTTTAGCTCAGAGAACTACAATGCATGCATAAATAATTCTAGGTATTTATTAAAGGCTCTCTGACTAAACTAAAAGCAATTCTTGTATATAGTGGCAATGACCCCTGGATAAAAGATTCCCTCAACATATAACTCAAATCATTATGGTTTACTGTGTCTATCACTTGTGGATAACTAAAGCCACTCAAGCATGTCAGCTGAAATGCTAATGGCTTCAAAAGTATCATCAGTCTCTCTATGTGAACACCAAAAAGGTTCTTTCTCTTCTTACGAACAATAATTCCTAGAAAATTAGCTAGAAACTCTTGGCCTACTCAAATGCATGTCTTAACTCCTGAATAATAATCGTAAACAGAATGACTTACTATACAAGTTATTTTTTGAAAGAACTCCTCTTAAGGTGGTGGTCAAAAAAAAAAAAAAAAGGTTTAAATAACTCCTATTACATTCTAAAAGGAGCTCTGGTAGCATACTGGTTACGAGTAGAGCTGCCAACCTCAAGGTCAGCAGTTCGAAACTACCAGTGGCTCTGCGGGAGAAAATGAGGTGTTCTATTCCTGTAAAGATTTACAGCCTCGGAAACCCTGTGCAGGGTCACTATGAGTCAGAACCGACTCCACCATACTTAACAACAACAACATTACATACTAAACTAAAACTGTATTTATCTGACATAATTATTTTAATATACAGATAAAGAAAAACAGTACTGCATTTACACTAAAGACTTCATCAACTATGGATACATGGATTAAGAATTACTAAAGATTCATTTTTGTTTTACACCTGTGGCTCATGATACTTTGTTAGGGCTTCATGGGCAATTTTAGCTATTTCGTAGAATATTCTGAATGTGTAGTGTCAACTACAAGCTTAAGAAAAACAGCCAAAACTGATAACAGAATTCAGCAATAAGGAGCAAACACTAACAACTGAACGTTCCTGATGGTCGCTAAAAAATGTCTTCCTTATTGTAGATTTTGAAGACCCTAACCTTTTTCCTGTAGTTGAAAAAGGGGGAAAGCAGGAGGAAATAAAAGGTAAAGCTAAATATTAACTTCTTAATTAATTCATGAACCATAATTATTAGTATTCAGCTATTCTACACTAACTGCCAGTCACACCACAAATGCATGGTTAGTAAACTTCTGTAATCACAATTAATATCGTCATTATTGCTGAAGAAGCAACAAGATGCTAGAGTTCCACACCACAAGACTACTCCATTACCATTGAGGAGTCTGTGGGTGAAGAAAGCCCCTCAGCAGCATCTTCCTTGATAACTTCCTAGCAACACAAAACAGGAGAGTTTGGGTGAGAAGGCAAAGGAATGAGCCAAAATATGATGATGAATGAACATGATGTTAAAATATTAATAAACAACACAGAAGTGCTTTATCTGATTAGATTTTTTTCTTCAGTGACAACATTTAAATTTTTTAATGGCAGCTTAATTTCTATAGATTTCTGCCTCCTAATTATTGAAAATACATTAACGGGGAATTTCTTTTTTAAATTGTTAGTAAACTGAGTTGATCATTAAGAATATCTAGTACTTTAGGCAGAAATACATTTGGATTTGGATTAATTAGATTCAACAGTACATTTGGATAATTTTCTTTATCCTATTTAATGTCTTCTACCATTAGTCCTGGTGTGGCGCTGTGGGTTAATGCGCCAGACTGCAAAGCTGTTTGAACTGCAAGGTTGGTGGTTCAAACTCACCAGCCGCTCCTCGGAAACTCTATCCAGGGTTGCTATGGGTCAGAACCAACTCGACACTTAACAACAACAACAACCATTAGACTGGGAGTCCTGGTGTCGTGCTGAGGGTTAATGTGCCAGACCATAAAGTCATTTGAACTGCAAGGTTGGTGGTTCAAGCTCACCGGCTCCTCCTCAGAAACCCTATACAGGGTCTCTATGGGTTGGAACCGACTCGCTAGCACCTCACAACAACAACAACAACAACAACAACAACCATTAGACTGCGATGTTCTTTAGATATATCCTTTAATTTTTATTCTATAGTGCTAACATATTTCCAAATATTATATGTTGTTGTTGTTATGTGCCGTGGAGTCAGTTCCAACTCATAGCGACCCTATACAGGGTTTCCGAGGCTGTAAATCTTTATGGGAGCAGAAAGCCTTATCTTTCTCCGTGGAACAGCTGGTAGTTTCGAACTGCTGACCCTGAGGGTTGCAGCCCGATTCATAACCACTGTAAGTTAAGTCCTTTTTAAAGGCAGTAGAAATGCACAATTATCAACATTTAGTTTTTTAAATTTGGGTAGCAAATACTACATTACTCCAAGCCAAAAATCTAAGGTTGTAAACAACTGAAGATTTACTCACTGAGACTGCTAGTGGTTTTTCTTCCATAGATATTAACCAGAAATGAAAACAAATACATTTTATGTTAGTATTAGTTTATGCTTAAAATTATTTATAAAGTAAGTTACACTCTTCTACTATGGAAAGGAAGTAACCAGACTTCTAATGCTATCTATGTTTATTATTAGATGAATATTTTAGTTACCCTTTTATATACTTACTAGGCCATTGTTCTGATCTCTGGGCAAATTCGTTTTTACTGATGGACGTGAGATGAGATGTTGGGAACTGCCAGGGTAATACCTTGGCGTGTAAAGGTATGGGGCAAAGAATGGCTATGGAAAAAACACGTAACAAAAAAATGGGATAAACAATTACAGAAATAAAAATATGGTGAGATTTATCAAATGAAACTAATCAAACCAATAAAATACAACTCGAGACTATTTAACGTAAGTGACAAAACAAAACAGAAACAAAAAAAGCCTCATAATGGTCATTTAGCATAAGGTTTTTTAAAAGCAATGAAAATTTTATACCTTAAAATCTGACATAAGAGTTTCTACTTATTTAACACTTGTATAGGCTTACCATGTGTCAGGTTCTAAGTGATTTACAAATGTTAACTCACAGTTTTAAAAGAAAATCACACAAGGGAATCCTAATAGAACACTATTCTCCACATACAAAAAGACTAGATCTAAGTAACATCACACCGCAAAAAAGGTCTCAATTATAAGAGAACACTTGGTATGCATGCCAGGAGTACAGTTATTACAAGTTCCTATACTCTACCCTGTACTAGATAAGCAAGTGAATTTTTAAAAACAGGTGAGATTTATAGCTACAGCATTTATTTATAACCAGCTTCATATAACCAGGAGATAATAGATTAAATGGGTTAAGTATAAATATTAAAATTCATCAGGCTTCATTACACTGAGGTAACATCTTCTGCCACCTTTTCTTTCTTTTCCAAATAGTTTAACACAGAATTAGTCTGCTTATATTTAAGGATAAAAATATACATAACTAGCATTAAAAAAATCACTAAACTTAACATTTTAAATGTTTGAAAAATGAAACTTCCATGTCAGCATTGTTATTGTTGTGTGCCGTCAAGTCCATTTGAACTGATAGTGACCCTATAGGACAGAGTAGAACCGCCCCAGAGGGTTTCTGAGGAGCAGACTGCCAAATCTTTTCTCCAATGAGGCTGTTGATGGGTTCAAACTGCCATCCTTTAGGCAGGCAGCTGACTACTATCCCCTGTGTTTCCTTGAGTTAGACTAAAGAAAGAGATAGCAAAAATGAAAAACTGTGATGAATCTTAAGGTACTAGAAAGCTTCCTGAAAATGCTTCATTTTCCTAGAGAAAATATCAGTTTTTAAGATCATTAAAATGGAATAATTTGGGTTTACTAAACTTCATAGAGCCTGTGTATCACTAATAATTATGTTTTAATCCAGAAATTACCATATTTATAATAAAGTCAACAATTATACATAACTGAAAATAACTTGAAATAAACCCTAGAAATGGGCTATGGTACTCTTCTTTGGCAATAACATCTGAGTGCTACAGGCATTATTTTCCCATTAGTCTCTCACGTTTAAAAGATACAAATGTATTAATTATACATTTTACTGAGCTACTAAAAAATTCAGTTTATCACTGTTCCAAATGCCAGTATATCTCATAAACAATACAGAAAAAATGGAGCAATTGTTTGTAAACAAATGAAGAATGAAACGGATTCCTTTGAAACAAAGAAGGATAGTCACTGTTGACTCGAGTTTGCTTTCTTATCAAGAAAATTAATAAAAGCACAAAGTATTTCTAATATTCAGAGTCTCATGATCTAGTGTCTTATTAAAATTCAAAAGTTTCTTGATTTAAAAAAATCCTACATTTCAAATTTAAGCTTGACATTTTCCCTAACTTTAAAGTTAAACTACAAGTTTGAAACCATAATAGAATCTATACATGAAAACTTCTGAGACTTCCCTGGAACAAAGTCTTAAAATTAAAAACTCTCACCACTCACTTACCCTATTGTAGAATGGATGCTGAGGTCCTGTCAGGCCACTATAATAGCTGCTGTGAGGCTGTGGGGACACAACTCCCCCTCCAAAGGGTCCATTAAAAGAAGTGGAAGAAGAACACACAGATGGAGGCTGGCTGAAACCTGACTGTGGTCTAGGAGGAGCTTCATGCAAAGGCAGTGGGGGATAGGCAAGTCCACCAATATTAATCTGGTCTCTTGCAGCACGAACATCTGAAAGTTTAAATGGATAGCCCAGAAGACAATTAGAAGACATTCATAATGAGTCCAATTACCACTTCTTTCTTTAGTTATTTCACAGACGTAAGATTTTATTAATTTTTCCAAAGATTCAAAAAGACAGGAAATCTTAAGTACTCCATACCAAACCAATCAAACCCACTGCCACCAAGTTGATTCTGACTCACAGTGACCTGGAATAGGGTTTCTGAGAGCGTACATCTTTATTGGAGCTGGCAGACTCATCTTTCTCCCACAGAGCAGCTGGTAAGCTTAAACTGCCAACCTGGGGGTTAGCAGCCCAATTCCTAACCCACAATGCCACCAAGGACCTTCTAGCAAGGGAGAGCCAACTGCTTTGCATAAAAGCTTTTTCGCCATTTGAAAAGACACCAACATCTGGGTTCTGTCCTTAAGTTACCAAAGGAATTAATTTTTCTCTAGATTTAAAGTATTAAAATAATTTTTATGATTTAGAAAGTGTTACCAACTAGAAACTCAGAATTGTTTAATATTAATAAAGAATGGTGGTTCCATAGGATAAGCACTGGACTGTGAACCACAAGGTCAGTGGTTTGAGCCCACCAGCTGCTTCTTGGGAGAAGTCGAGGCTTTCTGCTCTCGTGAAGAATTAAAGCCTCAGAAACCTTATAAGAGGGTTGCTATGAGTCGGAACAAATTCAACAGCACTTAACAATAACAACAACAACATATTAGCTAAACTGTGGGCTTGCAACCTACCTACATGAATAATTCACCTTTGGACAACAACCACACACATAAAAAAATGATTCCACAGTCACAAAATACAGAATTTGACATCAGCCTTACGAAAGATTTCTAACAACAATGTAAGAGTAATTTAAGACTATCTCTTCATGATTCCTGGAAAATGCAAAGATGAATTAGTAGCATGTCATTCAAAAGTTATTGTGCTTCAGTAAACATATCTTTAAATACTGATCTAAGTAAAAATTTAGAAAACTAGGAATGTTTTCTTACCCCTATTAACTACCTGAAGCTGGTGACAGAAAATGAAATGGATGGATATCTTAAAGTCATGGCTGTATCTTTTACGGTATCTGATGCCAAAAGGATCCAGGGTGTGCGGAGGAAGGTATAGATTATAATAAAGTGACCTTAATAAATAACATTTTCTTAACGTTCCTAAGAGGATGTCAAGACCTCTAATTCTGAAGATTACAAAATTAATTCTCCTGTGTAGCAGTTGGTTCAATATTTCCTGATTTTTCATGCAACAAGAGAAACTTTGTGTAACTGAGTTAGAAATAGTTGTTGTTGTTTTTTTTTTTAAAGGATTCCAGATAAGAAAAATCAGATTTACTACTAACACCCACCTGCAATAATTTCCCTTAGTTTGGGGTCTAGGTTTACAGTACACGGCAAAAAGGTTTTTACATCTCGAGCTACAAGAACTGGGGTCCTTGAGGACAAAAACACTTCAAAATTTCTTATATCTCCATCGATTTCAAGCAGTGGTTCAACATCTTTAGTTGTTGGAATATTCTTTGATATTCTAGAAACAGGAAATAAATGAAAAAAGGTGATGAGTGTAACTATTAGAAAGGTATGTTCTGTTTGTAACTTAAAATTTGTTACTAATTTACATAACCCAACACATTGTACAGCATGCTCTCCTTTAAAAAATAAACAAAAATGGTACAGTCACAAAATTACTAAGGAAACAATAAAACAAGAGGTCGAAGTTATGTTCTTTTTGGCCAATGGCAGGACTTGGGCTGGGAAAACCAAGAAGGGAAAGTAATATATAAAGAGGCACTCCATATGTTAATGAGCACCACTCAATGAAGATGAACAAGTGATCATTTTACAGATACGAGAGTTGGTTGTGCATATGTTGTAAAACCTGGTAAAAGCATCACTCAGCACCACTCTAACTGACTAACCGTGATAATCTAACAAAGAATGGTTGGATAATTAATGTAGATGGCCTTTCATTTAAAACAAAAATAATTTTTTTTAAGCAACTATAGGCTTGTTATTGTTAAGTTCCATCAAGTCGGTTCCAATGCCTAGCAATCCTGTATAGGGTTTTCAAGGAGTAGTGGATGGGTTGGAACTACCAACCTTGTGGTTAGCAGTCCAGTGCTTATCCTACAATGCCACACCAGTACCTCCTAAAAAATACACAGCAATGAAGGTGTTGTGAGAAAGAATAATTCAGTGTCTTCAACATTGTTGAAGAAAATTCTGAGAACGCTTTCTGAAAGTAGAGATGATAGTCAACCATGGTGATAACTCGAATTAGTTGTACCACAAAAGATAAACTTCCAGTTTTGCTTAACATAAAACAAAACCTTTAAATGAACAATATTACACTGGATTGGTAATATTATTGTCCAAAGCCTTTTTAAAAAAATATTTAAAAATCAAATTACATTTCATTACTTACTATTTGCAAAGCAATTAGTGAGCACTATACTAAATTTAGTCAAGAGATCAGACGACGTATTGCATTGGGCAAATCTGCTGCACAGGAACTTTTTAAAATATTGAAGAGCTGAGATGTTAGCTTGAGGACTAAGGTGCACCTGACCCAGGCCATGGTGTTTTCAACAGCCTCATATGGATGCGAAAGCTGGACCGTGAATAAGGAAGATCGTAGAAGAATTGATGCCTTTGAGTAGTGGTGTTGGAGGAGAATACTGAAAGTGCCATTGACTGCCAAAAGAACCAATAGATCTGTTTTGGAAGAAGTGCAGCCAGAGTGGTCCTCGGAGGCCAGGATGGCTAAGCTTCGTCTCTCATACTTTGGACACATTGTCCGGAGGAAACAGTCACTGGAGAAGGATGTCATGCTGGGTAAGGTGGAGGGTCAGAGAAAAAGAGGAAGACCCCTAACGAGATGGATTGGCCAGGTGGCATCATTGATGGACTCAAGTGTGGCAGCGGTAGTGAGGTTGGCCCAGGATCGGACATTGTTTCATTCTGCTGTGCATAGGGTTGCTATGAGTCGGTTCCGACTCAATGGCACCTGACAACAACATACTAAATTTGAAAATGCTAAAGATTAAAGGCATATGGATAGTATCCTATCAGACAGCGCTGCACCTCATGACTGATCTTGATATGTTCATTTTGATGCTGAATGGGACGCCATTCCTCTTTAATTTGTCATTCCCAGCACAGTAAACCATGTGGTTGTCAGATTTAAAATGGCCAATACTAGTCCATTTTAGCTCACGAATGTCTAGGGTATCGATGTTTATACGTTCCATTTCATTTTTGACTATTTCCAATTTTCCTAGATTCATACTTTGTCCATTTCATGTTCTATTGGTAATGGATGTTTACAGCTGTTTCTCTTCATTTTGAGTTGTGCCCCACCCCACCTCGGAAGGTCCTGAGGGCTTTCCTCCATTCCTGTCATCAAGGTCCACTCTACTTTAAAGAGGCAGCTCTTCCCCAGTGGCATTTTGAGTGCCTTCCAACTTGAGGTGCTCATTTTCCGGCAAAATATCTGACAATATTCTGGTGCTCTTTATCATGTTTCAATATTCGACAATCTGGTGCTGAAAGTGTACCACTGCTATTCATAAGGGTTTCAGCGATAAAACATTCAGAAGTAGTCCCTCTTTCCTTCTTCCTAGTCTCTCTTCATCTAGAAGCTCATCTGAAACCTGTCCACCATGGGTAACCCTGCTGGCATTTAAAATACCCATGGCATAGCTTTCAGAATCACAGCAACATGCAAGCCACCACAGTGCAACAAACTGACAGGTGAGCAGACGACTGGTAGGTCACACCACTACACTCCTAAAATCATTGCATATTTGCTTTCTCCACTAAATATAAGTATTTTGTGTATTTACCAGTGTTCCTTTGAAGACAAAGGTGTGCCAGACCCAAGCCATGGTATTTTCAATAACCTCCTTTGATAGTTAAGGTTTTGTGTCAACTTGGCTACACCAGTATTCTCAGTGGTTTAACAGGTACAATGTAGTTATCACCTCCATGATGAGATCTAATATACACACCAACCTCATGATCTTCTCTGATGTGATCAGCCCTGAAGTGTTATCCGTTGTTGTTGTTATGTGCCATGGAGTCGGTTCCGACTCATGGGGACCCTGTACAGGGTTTCCAAGGCTGTAAATCTTTACAGGAGCAGAAAGCCTCATCTTTCTCCTGAAGAACAGCTGGTAGTTTTGAACTGCTGACCTTGAGGTTCACAGCCCGATTTGTAACCACTACGTCACCAGAACTCCTTCTACTGTGTTATAAATCCTCACTTCTATGATGTAATGATATCAGATACAATCTATAGGATTAAGTTATATCTTTTGAATATAAAAGGAGAGAGGTAAGTGAGCAGAGAGAAGGACCTATCACCCAAGAAAGAGCCAGGAGTGGAGTGTGTCCTTTGGAACTCGGGTCCCTCTACTGTAAAGCTACTTGTTGTTGTTGTTAAGTGCCATCAAGTTGCTTCCAACTCATAGCAACCCTGTATAGGATTTCCAAGAAGTGGCTGGCGAGCTTGAACCATTGACCTTGTGGTTCAAACTGACCTTGCAATCTAGCGGATTAGCCTGCTGTGCCACACCAAGACTATAAAGTAACTAGATCTGGGGGAAATTGATGCCAGGAAGTATAAAAATCTCCAAGGAATACAGGGCCTATAGATGCTGAAAGGAGACAAGGACTGTTCCCTAGAGCCAGGGCTCTGGACTCAAGACGTCTAAGCCTCCTAAAATGAGAGAGAATAAACATCTATTTCTAAACCCATCAACTTGTGGTATCTCTGTTATAGCAGTATTAGATAACAAAGACAGAATGTGGTACCAGAAGAGTGGGGTGCTGCTCTAACAGATACCAAAAATGTGCAGGCAGTTTTCAAAGAGGATCGAAGAGTGCTAATCTACCTAATAGTTACAGCCTAGATTGCTGAGAAGAAACTAAGAGAATTATGAATGTTAAGGACAATTCTGATGAGGGCTCAAAAGGAGGTGAGAATTCTAATAGTGGATATGGCATAGGCAATGAGAAGCAGTAACAGAGGAACTGCAGCAGCTGAACTAAAAGACCAACACAAGACTGTACAGAAGTCGACCCACAGAATGAGAGAGCCAAGTACCTTCATATAAAAAGCTTCCTGGGAGAGTGGGGTACCTATGGGTACTTATCAGTCAACTAAAGAGCTTTGTAACACTTGTTCAAGATGGGCATGATCGAGGAGCATGAGAAGCACAGCTACAAGTCTCAAAAGGAAGGGCGAGGACCTCTGGGCTCTCAAAAGGTAGAACCATAACTTCTGGGGACTCTAACGGTAGAACCATGGTTTCAACGAGTTGGTTTCTTCACTAACTCTGGAGTGTGGGACTGTCGTTAAGATGGGGCCTCAGCCCAAGCTGAGGAAGTGAGGCTGCAGGGGCTGAGAGGGTGGGGTCACCACTCAGATGGATTAGGAGAATAGGGCTGCCCAAAGCTGAGGAAACAGAGTTGCCCTTCCAGTAGCCTAGAAGGCAGAGCTGAAGCCCACGGTTGGGGGCCTCTACCCAAAACCCAGAGTACACAGCCAACACACAATGTCGGGAAGGTAGGGCCACTGCTTATATAGTCTGAGATAACAGTGGATTCTTTTCTAGCCTTGAGAGCTGATGTAAATTGTTCTGCTGGATTTAGATTTTTAACTTGCTTGGTGCCTGTTTTCCCTTCTTCCCCTTCAATTACTCCTGTTTGTAACATAAATGTCTACCTTTTGCCTGTCCCACTACTGTATTTAGAAGGAGGTAACCAGTATTCTAGATTCGTGGATAAAAAATCAATTTTGTCCCAGGTTGGAATCTGCACTTGGAAGGATTTGGAGATGCTATAAATAGGGCCAGTGCACTTTTGGTTGTATGCAGGTTGGTTGCATTATGTTGGGCACAGATATGACTTTAAAACTGTCTTCATTTAGAGATTATATATTACTTAAGGAGATATGTATAGGTACCAAGTTGATAAGATATAGACTGACAGTTAAGGTTTTGTGTCAGCTTGGCTTGGCCAAGATAGTCAAGGGTTTAGAAGTTAAGATGCAAGCCTACATGAGGAAATCTAATATAATCAACCCCAAGATATGATGTGATGTGATCAGCCTTGATCTGATGTAATTACTTATTGTGTTGTAAATCCTCATTGCTATGATGCTAATGAGGTCAGATGTAACCCACAGGATTAGTTTCCATCTTGAGCCAATCTCTTTTGAGATATAAAAGAAGAGAAAAGTGAACAGAGAAAGAGGATCCTACTACCACCAAGAAGAAGAGACAGAAGTGGAGCACATCCTTTGGACTCTGGTCTCCCTAGATCCAAGGAAAGACTGAGACCAAGACACATGGAGATCTCCCCTAGAATATTGGGCCTACAGATGCCGAAAGGAGACAAGGACCTTTCCCTAGAGCCAGTGTTCTGGATTCAGACTTCTAGTCTCTGAAACTCTGAGAGAATCAAATTCTGTTAAAGCCATTCACTTAGGCTATTTCTTTTAAGGTAGTGTTAGATAACAAAGAT